AATGATTGAATTATGTTGTTCTTGTTCTTATCTTCCGGTTAAGGTTTTTATGCCTTTAGTAAATCTGCATGCAATATTTTTAGAATTATCAACAATTTAAAAGCTGTTTAAGTGCGGTTAAGCCTAATTTTGAAATAACATGGCGGATATATTTGTTTACATTTGAAACAGCAGAATAGTAGATTTGTTGCCAATCTAGAGAGACTAAGCTTCGCAACAACAAAGATAACGCCAACAGAGATAAATTCGGGAAGTGAGAACTGAATTAATTGAATGAGAAATACTAAACCGTCTGTGAAAAACTGTCTTTTTTGTTTTGTTTGTTTAATTTCTTTTATACATTGTTTTAGATTTATTACAGTATTTGAATAGAACATGGGGCAATCATTAGATAATTCTTCAAATGATATAGATTTGTATGCATTCTGAGTTATAATAAGGACGAATTGTAACGCTGTTAAGGGAACCTAGCACCAGAGTGTCGCTGTGGTAAAAAATATAGTGAATTTTAAAGCGTGCATTTATTCTATTGTGGTTTATGCGCTATCGACGAAGTAGATTTAATTCAATCCAATAAGTTTAAATGAAATGCAAGAAAAAATGCGTATAATTTAATATTCCGTGGAAGGAAGTCATGTGGTGTACACATCAGATTTTTTTTCATTTTAAATTATTACGATTCCACACGAGAAAGTGATTAATGACATTGACTGCGAAAGTGATTAATGACATTGACTGCCTTACCGAAGGGCCTGGGTGCGAATTCTGGAGAAGGCATTTATGTGAATTGCTTGTCCCTTCATAGGAGACAATAGTAGTAGCCTCTCTAATAAAATGACCGCCGCTTCTGGTCTTCGCAGTGGCCAAAATGGTGGTGTTTTCAAAGCCATCCTACTAAGAAAACTGAACATTGCTATGATAAACTGAGAAAAAACTGAAAAATATATGTCAACACTTAACTCTTCATCGGGAATTCTAAAAATTTGCTTTTTTTATGAATTTGCTGTTGAATAGTATATGGGATAAGTGCTGAGAAGACGATGTTTAAAAATAAAGCTAAAAAAATAAATAAAGGGTTAGCAGGAGCGAATGCAACAGCTGACTGGTAGACTGCAAGCTCAACGAGAGCATACACTTTTGTGTGTCCCTTAAAATCTGAAAGTTTTCATATTTTTACCCCAAAAGAGCAATTTGCCCGGAAGGACTATTAATTTCGTTTCGGCATTTTGCGTAGTCCACTATAAAATGGCGTTTCACTTTTCAAATTGTTGCCACCAAATATTGTCGCCCTGTATTATATTTAAATTAATTTAAAAATGAAGAATCTGCATGAATTTATGTATTTTTCTCGCATACTTAAAAAATAACGGTAACTAGAGACACAAAAATTTGAATAACGTAATCCTCCACTCGAATATGGGCATCTGGAAACCCAAATTCGGAACTTATTATCTGTTTCATACTTTGTAAAACTTTAAAACGATTTTTTGATTAACAAACTCAACGATTTCAAAGCGAGCAATGGCAATACTGTACGAAAAAAAAAGCATTTTTATCTCTTCAGCGCGCGAGACTGTGTATCAGAAATTCTAAAGATATGCTCTTTTTAAATATTTTGGGATATTGCTGTTAAACTGAATTTTATGGTTTAAATGTGCAGAACATGATATTTCGTCAATCGGCCCAATAGAAGAGGAAATAAAGAATTCTCCTTTTTTATTATTAATTATTATTATTATTATTATTATTATTTATTATTATTATTATTTAGGCAGTGTACCTACAATTGCAATATTTTCCAAAACTGGTTGGTAAGTTCCTAAAAATGGAAAATCGGATTTTTCAGCTTTCGCGGAATGATAATCTCACTAAATAAGAAATTTAATGAGCTTTTAATAAGTTCAATGTAGAAATTTACGTGACTATTAATTACTAGACGTTTTGAAAGATACAAAAGAAAGATTTCATGACTTAAAATCATTTTATTGCTCTTGCCGGCCGAAATTCATTACATTTCGCAAGTTATTTTCACGATTAATAATTCCATATCGCATAATTTACAGTATTCAAACCTCTGCAAAAATGGCACTTAAAAGTTTGAATATATTTCTAGTTAATTTCTAAAGTATAATGAATATTTTATTTCATAGAATTTGTGCTTTGCGATGGTCATATGGAAATTTAGATTTTATAATGCTGGAACTTTCCTACCCACAGTGACGAAAATGCAATAAAAAATTTTTTGACTTTATTTTGAAATATTTCCTTGCTGGAAGTATATATAAAGAACTAATATTTAAAAAAAAATCTGAAAGCTTTTAGATTTTATATTATGCCCTAAAGTCGCGTTTTTTAACGTCTTTGTGTGGTACCTTTTATATATTAAATATCATGTTCTGCGCACTTAAACCATAAAATTCAGTTTAACAGAAATATCCCAAAATATTTAAAAAGAGCATATCTTTAGAATTTCTGATACACAGTCTCGCGCGCTGAAGAGATAAAAATACTTTTTTTTCGTACAGTATTGCCATTGCTCGCTTTGAAATCGTTGAGTTTGTTAATCAAAAAATCGTTTAAAAGTTTTACAAAGTATGAAACAGATAATAAGTTCCGAATTTGGGTTTGCAGATGCCCATATTCGATATATTTCCATATGACCATCGCAAAGCACAAATTCTATAAAATAAAATATTCATTATGCTTTAAAAATTAACTAGAAATATTTTCAAACTTTTACGTGCCATTTTTGCAGAGGTTTGAATACTCTAAATTATGCGATATGGAATTATTAATCGTGAAAATAACTTGCGAAATATAATGAATTTCGGCCGGCAAGAGCAATAAAATGATTTTAAGTCATGAAATCTTTCTTTTGCATCTTCTAAAATGTCTAGAAATTAATAATCACGTAAATTTCTACACTGAACTTATTAAAAGCTCATTAAATTTCTTATTTAGTGAGACTATCATTCCGCGAAAGCTGAAAAACCAGATTTTGCATTTTTAGGAACTTACCAACCAGTTTTGGAAAATATTGCAATAATTGTAGGTACACTGCCTAATAAAAAATTTAAAAAAAAAAAAAAAAAAAGAAAGAAAGAAAAGGGAGAATTCTTTATCTCCTCTTCTACTGGGCCGATTGACGAAATTCAACTTGCGTTTTTCATGTCTCGAAAGCGCGACTTACGATATAGTATATTACATTTATATATATTGTTCTAATATAAGAATTTTGACACAAAATCGAACTTTTTTCTTAAATGATATGCCAATGTTTTTCCATATTTCGATTCTACGACTCAAATTATGACTAAATATTAAATTTTGTATAATTTGGTGCGACATTTACGAAGAAATTTGAAAATTTATCTTGGCGCATTTTTTTTCAGTTTGCGCCAAGTATAATTCACTTAATGAACTTCTTAATTCATAGCAAACTATTTTCCTATCCTTTTTTTTCATTGTAAACGAGCGGGAAAAAGTCATCGTTTATTATTTCAAATATTTTTAACTAAGTGCGTAAACCAAATTTGGCGTTATTTGTCGCTTATAACAAATATGCGAAATTTCAAGACACGCTAATATGTAAATTCACGTATATCTAGGAAATTTGGAATAAAAAACTCTAATTTTTTGCAGGTATGCTTAGAAATAAATCTACTTTAAGATGATGGTAAAACCTTTACAGATTATAATTCAAAATTGTTTTCGAAAAATTTTTAAAAATTACTTTAAAATACAAATTAAAAAAATAAATCATAAAAAATGGGCGAATTTTATTTGGAATTAACGTAAATTTTGAATTCTGGAAGAAAGCGTCAAGTAAGTTTAATAAAAAAGAGATATTAGAAAATATACATCAAGTCTAATTAATATTGAGGAGCTAAAATTTTGAGAGCCAACTTTTTAAAAACTACTCGAGCGATTTTTACAAAACTTGGCAGTTTGGCATAATTTGAAAAGTAGAATCGAAATGTGGGGAAAACATAGCATGCCATTTCAGAAAAAGTCCAATTTTGTGTCAAAATACCTATATTAGAGCAAAGCTATATATAAATCTAATACATATCCGCGCTTTCGAGATATGAAAACCGCAAGTTAAATTTCATCATTCAACCCAGTAGAACGGGAGATATAATACTGTCTTTTGGGGGGGGCGGAGTAGTGTACATTTCTAAAATTGGATTTAAAGAGGGAATGAATTGCGTTAAACTAACATCCTGAGTAAAGTGTTCATAACGTTAGAAAACTCAACTTGAAAAATTTATTATTTGAGTAAGAAACAGGATAATATTTCACGCTTAACCAATGCTATATAATAAATAAGAAAACGGCTACCGTATTATTTCGAAGTAGCTTTGGGGACCCAAAGATGCATAGACTCTTCCCTTTGCCTGAATTTTTAAAGGGGCTACTTAAAGACTACATATCTGAGAATGCAAAAGATCTAGAAGCCAATTTGTAGTTCAGAAATTAGGTGCAGTCTGAGAATATAAGAAGGTTGTAATTTAAATAGTGGCAACTTAACCTTGAAAGTCGCAGAACGGCGGGCATGCGCAAATAGGATATGTGAGCGGTGAGGTGGCGCTGTTGTCGATGTGTAGAGTGTAAAAAACAGTCGATCTGCTTAGAAGGGTAGTTGTGTGGCGTTAAAGTGAGGAGTTTTGTTTACATCGCTCTAAATCATGTTTTCAAAAGGTGATCAGCGGTCGTGGTTTAAAATCGACGTTGCCCGTGGCAAAAATTCAACAAAATGCTATCGAAGATTAGTGGAAGCCTGTGGCACAAATGCTTTACCGTATAGGACAGTAGCACGATGGGTTCAAGCATTTCCTTCGGGTCGGAATAAGACTGCGGATTTGCAACACGCATGTCGCCCCTCCATTCCTCAATAGCAGGTTAACATCCTGAGCGGTCTTCTTAGCATAGACCGCCGATGGAGTGTCTGAGAATTATCCTTAGATGTTGGTCTGAGTCATCAAACGGTGTGGCGCACAATGAAGAAACCTCTCAACATGAGGAAAATTGCTTCCCGCTGCGTTCCACATCGACTAACCGAAGTACAGAAATGGCACCGGTATGCACTGGCTGGCACCCAGTTGGAAAGATACCGCAATGAAGGAGACGCATTTCTGCAGCGTATTGTCGCCATTGATGAGACATGGCCACGAGCCTATGAGCCTGAATTAAAGCGTCAATCAAATGAATGGCGTCACCAAGGTACGCCACGTCCACAGAAATTTCGACAGGAACCCAGTCGGGTGAAGGTTATGCTGATTATGGCATACGACTGGGACGGTGTCATTCTTACACATGCTGCACCTGAAGAACAAACTGTCAACGCAGATTACTATTCCCGATTTCTACAGCAATATCTGCATCCGGCTATGCGGCGCAAACGTCCACGTTTATTGCACAACAATCTCCCTATCGTATTGCATGACAACGCTCGTTGCCATATCGAAGACGTCACTCTCCTTTTGCGATGGGCAGGGGGAAATCTTAGAACCCTCCCTACTCACCCAACATGAGTCCTTGTGACTTTAATCTGTTTCCGAAGTTGAAGGAACCCCTCCGAGGTCACCGATTTCATGACGTTTCATCTGTACTCCACGCAGTAGGGCGCTCGGTCGCTCACATCAACAATCAACACCTTGCCACTGGTCTACAACGGCTTTTGACATTTGGCAAAAGGTTATAAGCTTTGCTGGTGATTACATAGAAGGAATGTAATGCAATTGTACTTGTAAGTTCATTAAAAATTGATTTATACCTTTGTTGCCATTACTTAATTTACAGCTCTCGTATTTTCTGTTTTTTTGCAACAAATGAGCTCTAACATTCGCTGCCACGCTTACCTTCACACCTAGCTTCGTTGGTAGTTTCAAACACTTATTCTTATATGGTGAATTCTATAGGAGGATTTCAGGAATGTTGCTATGGTAAGTAAATTTTCCTACTTAATGCGCGATAGTACAAAGTACGAATTATTGGGCAAGCAGATTTACAAGACAATTGTTGAGCACCAAAAAAAGAGGGAGGAGTTCAAGTCCTAATTGATTCAGATTCATTGAAATGATATGCAGCTACTTTTATTTTGGATTTAATTGATGATGGCAAAGTTTACTAGAATTACCTGAGTTAGAAGGGACACCTGTACAAAGAACTTTACGAAAGCGATTGAGTCGTGTTTATGTTCCATATAGAGAAAAAAGCAGAAACGTCACACAGACTGTTCACCGGGTTCGAAACTGGGATGAATAGTACTCAATGTTTTTTCCTCCACTTGACCACTTGGCCTGCTTTAGTTTTGGCGTAAATTGTCTGAGACACCCACTGACTAGGAAAAATCATTTTATTTCCACGTATTATTCTATATATAACAATTGGTTTTTGAACTGAGGATTTCGTGAATTTATGAACATTTCATAGCTTTGCTCAAATGTGATAATCGTCTGTGCTTCGTAGTTTACAACTTTTAAAATAATTTGTAACTTCCTGATACCATACCATAATTCAGTATAAAATATTTGTGCACATAGGTATAATGTATGGATGTATTATCAGGTTCAATGTTTCTTCTAACCTTCTTCGGAAACATACAATGACCTGACTAGAACAGAGAGCTTACTAAAGCTATGTTCACTAATTGTAGTAAGTAGACAGGATACAGACGAAGGGTATACAAAACCCTTTATTTTTTCTTTATATACAATGACTTCCGTACTTCGGAATACAATGACCCTCCACTCGGGGTCTAACTTAAAAGATATCAAAATAAAACTAAACTCTAATTTAACTTTAGAATAAGATTGGCCTTATAATAACAGGAAGCGTATGTAGCACAGAGACTGTGAACACTACAATACGTTTAATTTATCAAGAGGATTAAAACCTCTGGCCTGGAAGGCAAAGTAGCAACTGCGTAACTTCTAAGGTAAGCGGCCTGCTTCGAACTCACGGCTTCCTCTCTTCTGCTTGGCAAAAAGGCCACACTTAAATACTTGGCGTTCGCCAGACAACTTTGCATAAATAAGTTAACGCTTTTAATTCTGGCCGGAAGTAGAAAATAAGAAGTGATAGTAAAGATTTAAAATAAAATAAACGTTAGTAAAACTTAAGATCCTTACATACTTCCCGCCAGAGTTAATTAGTTTGAAACTGAGGTCTAAAACGACCTTGTTGAAAACTTTTAGCTCTAGAAACTAACGCGAGGCCAACCTTTTACAATCATAACTTAGCTAGAAACTAGAAAATTTAAAAGAAAGAAAGAAATTTGTTACAATAGCAGCTCCCGGAATATACAACAATCTTTTTTCTTTTTCATCTGTACTGCATCAAAACAGGAGCTTTATTCAATTCTGGTTCCTTCCAGAGATCTGGAAGGAAAACTAGTTTAATGAAATGTTACAGAATGACATTGCAAATAACATATAGAATATACTTTTCTTAACATTCTTATTTCATTCATGACTATTTTAATTATCTCTCCCCGTGCTCTCTGACATGTGTTGTAAAAACACCAAACACGAATGTGTTTCTGTCTATGTGTTCAACACTTCCTCCTACAATCAAAACACTAACGTGTTAAAATTCAACATACGAGACCTCTTAACACACCCTAATTTCAACTCTAGACCCTGAGGTACTATTCTGAAAGTGGCTAACTCTAAAGTGTAGCGTCAGAGAGCCTAACTACATCATTCAACCTTTAACACATATTCACCATGATTTAATCTTTACAGTCACACGAATAACAAATTTTTTAACATTACTTTCACTTTTACCATATCACGGTATTTCTAAACATTCAAAAATAACAGTTCACATGTATACAAGAACATATCAAGATGCCGTTAATTTTACACATTTGAAAACATACATTAGTAGTACATTGTTAACTTCTATTCTTTTCAAAGCAAGTGCCAATTCTTTCTACATTGAAATAATACTACATTTCAAAAAGTCTTTCAGACTAAAACTTCTTTCTTGTTAGAATGTTTTAAATAAAATTTATACAATAACTTTTTACAATATTTAAGTCTTTACACAACGCTATTATACATCAACTTTAGTTTTACGCGCGAGTAATTGAAAAACATAATAAGAAAATCGGTCACAACTCATTTCTCGCCCTTTTGGCGATAAAGGTAGACCTCGCATGAGGTAAAACTTCTTGAAATCTGCCACTTGCAGTAAGAATGAAAGATTAACTTAAGTTTGCAAAGTAACATAAAATTTTACTTATCTTTGTAATATTCAGGACATCCTTTTCTGGGCCCAGTCTTTAAAGGTACTGCAGATAGTAGCTTGGTTGATCCTCCTTCTTGTACGGGCTCGCCCTTCAGTGCTTTCCTCTGGAAGCTTCCGTTTTTCACCACTACGGCCACCCTTGAACATCTTCCTTCTGTCCTCTGCTTGTGGTCTTGGCCGTTTGAAGGCAGCTGGTCTTGGTGGAACCGGGAAACTTCTGTCGTGATCCTGCTTGGACCTCGTTGTTGGCCGTTCAAATTTTTCTTGTACTTTTTCCTCCGCCGCTGATGGCCCTTCCGCAGTTCGGCGACTTTTGCTGCGGAGAGTTCTGTCGGATGAGTCAATCTTCCGTTTTCACAGCCGGGTTATAGTTGCCGTCCTTTCTCCCGGTCTTTTCCACATACGTCGTCCTTCTCCCTTCTTCATTCTGGGGGTGTTCGTGAACTCTGTTTTTTGGACGGTGGAACGGCTTCTTTTTCTTTGTACCTTCAATTTTTCCGCGGGGCAATTTTCTTTTCACTTGCTTCTGTCTCTCATTGGCTTGCCCTTGTACTTGTCGTTTTCCCACCTCTGGAACTTGTACCTGCGGTGTCTGCCGTACCGGATCCTGCAAAAGATCTGAAAAGATTTGCATTTTATTACGGTCATAGAATGGTTTTATCTGGTCAATGTTTGCGGAACAGGTTTCACCATTTCTTGCCTTTAACACTACAACAGCGTGAGTTATTTTTTCTATAACATATGGTCCTTCAAAGCGTGGAAAAAATTTGGCAGTTTTATCTTCTGGTGCTGAAGAAAGTGAATGCTTAATTTTTAGTACTTCATCCCCTACTTTATAAGTTACTCCCCGTCGTTTCAAGTCATAATACAATTTTTGTTTTCTTTGTGCTACTTCCGTATTCTTTTTTGCTTCTTTTATTAGTTTTTCTATATCACCCATTTTAAATTCTGGGGCTCTTTGTTGCACATAAAATAGTTTATCTAACGGTGTTATAATCCTTTCTGCCTAGAAATAACTCAGCAGGAGTTTTGCCCGTTGTATCATGTTTTGCGGTCCTAAGGGCGAAAGCAAATTCATTGACATAGTTATCCCAGCTTTTATGAAAATTTTTAACATAACTACGGATAATTTTCACTATATTTCTGTTGACCCGTTCCGCTATATTTGATTGCGGCCGATACGGGACCATTTTTAAATGACGTATGCCCAGTTTTTGGCACATGTCTTCAAATATATTACTTACAAATTGAGGACCATTATCCGATATAACTTTTAGGGGCGCCCCGTATTTTAAAATATATTTATTTAAAATAGAATCGGTAACTAATTTCGCGGAGGCTCGTTTTAAGGGAACAATTTCGGTCCATTTACTAAAATGATCAACTATAACAAGGAGATAGCGACTTTTGTTTAACTGACTTTTTGGGAAAGGGCCCAATAAATCGATGCCGATTATTTCATTTGGAAATTCGGATTTAATACTATTTAGAAACCCGGCCGGGCGGAAATTAATATAATTAACGGCTTGACATGTTGGGCAGGACTGGACATACGCCCTTGTTAACTTTTGCAGTTCAGGAAAGTAGACTGCCTCGCGTACGCGTTGAGTAGTTTTTTCGAATACCAGCATGAGAAGCTAAAGGGCTGTCATGGAGCTCTTGCAGGATATTTAATCTAAGACTAGCTGGGATAACAGGTCGAAATTCGTTGTTGGAATTCGTAGTTTTTGTATAAAATAATAGACCATCTATTAGTTCGTAATGGGCCGCCCTATTTCTTATCGCCACAATATCTTGGTGGCTAAAATTTTCAGGATCCTTCAAATACTCATAAATACTTCCAAACTCAGGATCCTTACCCAGTTCGGTTATTACAGTTTCTCGGGAATTTATTGTACACGCTGTCAGCATTGCAACTTTTACGGTATTACCCTGTTCGTCTAATTTAATTCGTGACAGGGCATCTGCTACGATATTTTCCTTTCCGGGGGTATGCTTGATTACCAGATTATATTCTTGCAGCTTGAGTGCCCATCTTATTAACCTTGGGGATAAATTTTTTCCAGAGTACAATCTAGTTACCGCCGCATGATCAGAATATACTGTTATCGGCGCCTTTCCAAAATAGACTCGGAACTTTTGCACTGCTAACAGAACTGCAAGTGCCTCTCTCTCGGTCGCGGAATAGTTTCTTTGTGTTTGATTTAAAGTTCGGCTAAAAAATGCTACTGGCTGCTGATTTTGCGAAAGTACCGCTCCTACCGCATAATCCGAAGCA